AATAAGACTAACGTACATCGCATTGGTTGAAATAGATCTATATGCACCACTCCACATAAGGTAATTTTTGATTTTGTTGTGTAATTTATATGCTCTGTTAGAATAAATACATTGAGCTCTTTTTGTTGATCAATTTTAATATTTGATATTATCAGGATCCACTTAGATTATATACCAATGGATTTATTACCTGTACTATATATATATATATATATATATATATATATATATATATATATATATATAATAAAAAGACTTAAACACTAATATTCCATGGTCATAATTTATTCCATTGGAATTGTAAATACGATCCAATTCATCAGACAGACAAATTAAAAAAAAAATGAATAAAAAAATAAAGCCATAAAAAATTGTAAGATTGTAAGAATTGGCTTTATATAACCGACAAAGGGATTATTATAATAAGCATATTAAGCAAAGTATTTATTATATGATAGCAAAGAAAAGAACGAATACCGAAGTAAGGCTGAATACATATTCTGGGAAAATAAAGCAAGGAAGATATATGCACCAGGAGTCAATACAAAATAGGTGTCTGGTAGTCAAAACAAAATAGGAGTCCGTTCAATAAAAAGTTCTGTGGTTTGTAGTTGAAGTTCATTCGGAGGAGTGAGAGAATGGTAACTGATGCTCAAGTTCACCTTTGTGTGAGTTTTGTGGACAGGAAGTTTGGAAGTAGTGATGGCCGGCACTAGGTCAGCTCGGCTGCCAAGGGAACGTGTTCTTGCGTGACGAGGCAAACGAAGAAGCCACTGACTATTGAAGTTGCTGGTGAGATGAAAATGCTCCACTTTTGTGGAATGCGGTGTTGTATTTGTATTACGTCAGTGGATGAAGAAGGCATCTGCGTCTTTGGCTTGCGGTGCCTTCTGATTGACTGAAAAAGCTTAAAAAAAAGCTTGCTTGCCATTACATCTGCTGGTAAGTGACCTCAGGATGACCTGTAGGCTGTTCTAGTTTTTGACTGCAAAGAAGGGCTCATGAATCGTAACAAGATTTGTCTTGGATGATAAGCAATATAAAATCAATCAATCAATAAATAATATAAGGAAAATATTTAAAAAGTAGATTTACCAGAAAGGACATATTTCAATAAGTTCGGGATAATATAAACAGAAAGAAAATTGTACACTTGATATAATGTCCAAGTGTCACTCGGTGGATAAAGCTACTGAATGCGGTTGTTATATATATATGGCTTGTTTATATATATATATATATATATATATATATATATATATATATATATATATATATATATCAGTTGTTATAGGCAGTTATATATATATATATATAGGTTGTTATATATATATATATATATAGGTTGTTATAGATATATATATCACTTTTTATAGTTGTTTGTTATATATATATATATATCACTTTTATAGGTTGTTATATATATATATATATATATCTTTTTATAGGCTGTTATATATATATAGGTTGTTATAGGTTGTTATATATCAGTTGTTATAAGCTATATATATATATATATATATATATATATATCAATTGTTATAGGCTGTTATATATATATAACTTTTTATAGGCTGTTTTATATATATATATATATATATATATATATATATATATATATATATATATATATATATATATATATATATATATATATATCAATTGTTATGTATACATATAGGTTGTTATAGTTTTATATATATATATATATATATATATATTTATATGCTACATTTTATAGGTTATATATATTTATATATACAGTTGTTATATATATATATATATATATATATAAAGAAATATAGTCTTATAGGTGTGCTATATATATATATATATATATATATATATATAGGCATGACGATAAAACACTTATATATATATATATATATATATATATATATATATATATATATATATATATATATATATATATATATATATATATATATATATATATATATATATATATATAGTTTGTTATATATATATATCATTTTTTTATCATTTCCTTGAAGCAAGGCTATAAAGCCACTAATCTGCAAGAACCTACTGTAACTGAATGACTGGAAAGCAAAAAACCTGGATTAAGAATTAGGATGGTAATGATTGACATTGCTTTACATTTTTCAACATTACAGTTGACTGGAAAGCTAGAAGAAAGTTCCACAAACAAGAAGTGCGGTAGAAGAAACTGTTAGCATAGAACTTACTGCTACATGTAACCATTTAAACTGTAAGATGACAATAGCTTGCTGTGAATCTAGTACTTAAGTTCATAAATCAAAGTACCAAAGAGGAAAGCTCATCAGAACAATTACCATGAAAATATTTAAAGAAAAAGGCAGTAAAACTACATTATGGTGTTGAGAAAATGATTGAATCTGAGATGCCAGGCCAGGATCACTAACATTGCTAGATTCTTCCTCGTATTTTAACAAATTAACAGTTCTGGGGAAGAAGCAGTCTGAGTGTGTCATTGATTGGAACAAAGTCCTGATATTCTCATGGGGAATTTCTTCCTATTCTTCTTGGTGATAATCCTAAAGTTCTTGGAGTTTTTTTGTTGGAGCACTTGTTTCTACACTTCCCTCCCCAATGGTTCAATTATATTGAGAGCATGACTCTGCTGGGCAGTCTTCCAAAAGTTGGATATCTTCATTCACAACAAACCTTTTAGTTGCACGTGATGTGTGGCACTGTGCACCGCCAATACTAAAAATTTTCTCCATCTTTGCAGTTTGGCTGAAAATTAGATTGTAGTAAACTAATATATTTTTCACTTTTTAGGATTTCCATCAATTTTTACCAATTTTCTTCTACCTTCGCTTTTTATGCAAATCCACATCATTTTATCTCCACTGTCAAATTTTAACCTCTTTGTGTTTGTATCTTGCATTGTT